GGTCCTTCAGGAGCAGACTGCTCCAGCGTGAGCTTCCCACGGAGTCTCGGGCTCTTTGGGTGCGGCCGTCTGCTCCAACATGGGGCCCTCCCCAGGCTGCAGGCGGGGCTCCGCTACCCCCCCCGCTGCAGGGGCACAGCCTGCCCTCTCCCCATGAGCTGAGGGGAACCTCTTCTGCAGGTACCTCCTCCTGCCTTTCTGCACTGACCTGGGGGCCTGCCTGGCGCTCTCTCTCACACACCGCTGCTCTCTCCATGCTGATTCTCCCCACTTTGTTTTCACTTCCACGGCTGCTGCTTCTCATGTGTTTTCCCCTCTTAAACAGGTTAATGGCAGAGGCGCTGACTGTCTCAGCCGTGGCCAGCTCTGCCTTGGAGCCAGGGGAGCTTTTCTCGAAGCTTCTCACAGGAGCCTCCCTTGTGGCACTTCCTCTGCTACCAAATCCCCCACCACAGAAACCCAACACGCCCAGTCTGCTGCCAGTAGCTGTTCTCAGAGGATTACGTCCTGTCTTTTTGCTGGGTCCTAAGGTTGAGGCTGTAGTAAGGGTGGAAGATAATAATTTGACTTACAGTCTTTAACAGTGCTCAAACTCTGTTAAACTGGTTTTAATATGGCATCTCAGCCTTCCTCAGTGCCTCTGCACTGATACCATCGTCCCTTTCTAGGCAGGTGGGGCTGACGTTGAGGGTGATAAGTGAGCTGGTGTTTGCGGGTTGCTCTAGTTGAGGTCTTCCAACTATGTGGCACAACGTGTGGAATTTGCAGGCTTTTCTTGGAACAAGTTTGCCACAGGCCTGCTCCCATTAAATCCAGGTAAAACTTTGCCTGTTGCTTACAGGGGAGCAGGGACTGCTGTCTGTGTTCAAACCTACTTATTCCTCTGTTATACTGTAACACACTCTTAGAGCTACAGAAGAAGTCTGTTGGTCATGCCTTTTTAAAGTCCAGCTTCATGTGACTTTTCAGATGCTTCACCTTATTTTTCATTATTTGTATTGCAATGTACAAGACCTTCAAAAATAATTATTCAACAAAAGTCATGTCAGATATTTCAGGTGTTAGTCTCAGGTATATCTGCAGTGTGTCATTCACTACTGTTAGTTTTTCTTCAACTATTACTTTAACTCAGATGATTTAAAAATATAAGGATTATAATATAATATCCCAGCTGCAATGATACTGAACAGGAGGGGCCAGAAGAACTGCAATTAGAGATAATACGCGGTTGCTGGCTGTGCGGCCATTTGGTTGAAAGTCTTGTTCTGACCCCAGATAGGCTTCAGACTTGAGCTTTACCATGTGAAATGCAATATGGGTGTCCCATCCCCAGTCTTTGTGGAGAGCCAGTGACTTCTTGAACATTTCCACGTGGCAGTCCTGATGAGCATGGCTTTTACCCACCAGTTCAGAGGTGGCTTCGTCAGTTCTATAGTTGGTATTGCAGTTAGAGAGCAAATGTGAAAAACAGCTTCAGAAGACTGGCTCGGGGAGTACGTACTGCTCAGAGTTTGTATTTCATCTTAAGTTGTTGGTTTCTGTGGGAGTTACCAAACCAGTTGAGCTACAGTGCTGGCATGAAGCCAAATGAAAAATACAGTTTTCTTCACTGTAAACATGACTGTCAAGCAGTAATGTTTTTCTCAGCTTCATTTTAAAGGCATTATAATGGAAGAAAATGAAACTAAAACACATTTTTATGCCAGTATTATACAAGAAAGAATGTTATTTCTTTTTTTCTTTTAATTAAAAACTCTTAGTGAATACACCATACAAAATTATGCGTTAATAAATATGTAATCAGTTATCTGTGTTGCTAGATACGTGATGGAGTTGGTAAACCAATATATTTCTTATTCTGGTGTAGTTATGGTGAGAATACTTTTTTTTTTTAATTGCCTCTTCAGACATGAAAGATATGTAAAGTTATTTTTAGTCTTGTTTTGATAACAGGGAAAAAAAATTGCCTGATAAAACTTAACGAATAATAACAGCACACACTAATCTCTGTCCACTCCTTCAGGCTTATTTCTAAACTCTCTTTTCAGTGGCCAGTAGCTGTGTTAACTCATCATCAGGCATTCTGCTGAACTTGGCCATCTTTGCTTTGCTGTTGGGATTTATTTTGATGAAAAACATTTAAGTTCAGCTTTGCCGTTTTAAGATAAATGCAAACTGCATTTAATGCTCCTAGTGGTTTCACCAGGACATCATCATGTAGGTGCGACTGCACCAAATGGCCAACAACAGCATTTTCACTTACTTTTTAGAATTAAATTTATTGGAGTGGTATGCTTTGCCTGTAACACCCTCCATTTTATTTTGCAGCATGAGGAAAAAGCTTGTTTAACAAAATGTCTGATCAGCTGCTGCTTTGTAAAATGGCTTTTTGCATACTAGGAATGGAAATTGCATCTTGAAGAATGGATGTCAGCATCTGTGTAACTCGATGCACCGGAGGATGAAAAATCCTTCAGTTGTTCTTCATTGTTTGGATGAGCTTTTTTAAGAGTTTCCTAATACAAAAGTAAGAAGTAGGATTGGAAGGGACTTTTACAAGGGTCTTCTAATCTGTCCTGTCTCTTCAGACGAAATCAGCTGCAGTGAAACCTTTCCAGACATACTTGCCTTGCCTCTTCCTTAAAACCTTAAATGGCAGCGATTCCTGCTTTTCCCTACGTAATCTGTGCTAATGCTTCAGGTAATTAGGAAGTTTTTGTTAAGTACATGTGGATAGTTCAACAACAGAATTTTAAACTATATTTTATTAGAACCAGCACATTTTATTTTGCATATCTAATACTTTTGTTAGAAAACTCGACCCACCTCCCTTGGTCTGGATGTTTGTAGGCACAGGGAAATTGAGAAACAGTTGAAAGTACACATATGCGCTGTAGGTGAATTAATGGTGCCCAGCCCTCTGGAGTGATGAAAAGCTACACAAAGATCTCTGAAGTTCTCTAGATCTCCTGAGCAACATTGATGCTAAGATTGGCCAGAAAGATCCTTCTTTCGGTGTGTGATGAAAAACGACACCAAACTGACGCTCAGATTTTGCACTAAGTGCTCGGTGCAGTATGTGCTGCAGAAGTAACGAACTGTATTCAGGTTTTGGAGGTGATAGGCAAGGAGCGGCTCTTTGACTGGGCACCTTCGAGGTCCTGTGTGGTAACATCGCTGTTTCCTATAGCCATGTCCACTGTGTACCCTAACAAACAAGCTTTTCTTTTGGATCTTGGGATGAGCCAGCTCCTCCAGAGTTCAAGGTACTGTCCCAGCAAGGAAGTGTTGAAAACAACAGGCTATTGTTGCGCTTGGGCGTGCATCGTCCTGGACAATGGGCGTCTGTATCCTGTCTCGCAGGCGCTGTGAGCTCGGTCGCAACTGCCGGCTCTCGGCGAGCAGCCCCAATTTCAAGGAAATGGCAAAACGCTGCTGGCTGCTGTCGCCAGCAATGGTCTCGGGACAAGAGCTGCTCCGCTGCTGAGGAGGGTTCTCTGAAAGTGTGTGTTTTAAGGAGCTTGTAAAGGAGTGGTGAGGTATTTCTGTGGATCTTTCTGCACCGTAATAAGAGGATTAGAAAGAAGCACATAGAGCACGCTTTGGAAACTTCCCGGGAGGCAGTGACATGACATGCTGAGCTGGAGTGGAAGTGAACATTTCAATAATGGAGAAGAGAGAGGAGGGGTGAGATGGAGGTTGGCCAGAAAGTATGCTGAAACCGCAGAAAAGGGTGCTATATTTAAGGGAAGATAGGGAGAGGAATTGATGACGGGGAAAAAACTCAAGGAGATAGACTTGGGACAGGGCATGGACTACGAAGGGTTTGCACTAGTATTCTAAATAGGAGTGAGATAGACTTGTGTTCACTGATGCCGGTAAAAGGGATGTTGCAATAATCAAGAGACAGGAAGATAAAAGTCCAGCCAAGGGTTTTAGCTGTGTAGCTTTGCACAGATAGATAAGACTGTATTTGAGAGAAGTCACTCTGAAAGAGCTGCGAACATTTAAATTTAGTTCATTATATATTGGTTTTAAACAGTATTTTAGTTACGTTTTCCTACTGCAAAAAAGGGGGTGTGATGGGCTTTTGGCTTGGGTTTTTTTGTTTGTGGGTTTTTTTAACTTAATTGTCTTGCTTTTTTATTTCCCCTTCTTTCTCCACGCTACAAGATCATTTTGCTGGGCAGGAGGAATGTTTCCTGCCTGCTTACATGTCTGTGCTCCACATGGCAAAGTTGGGAAGGCACCCCACAGAGAACAGCTGGCATCTCTGTAAAGAGTTGGAAGTACACTAGTGTTGCTGTCTTCTAAGAACACTTAATAAAGAAAAGTAGGAAGGGCAGCATTAAAGAAAAAGGAAAAGAAAAAAAAAAACAGGGAAGGCAAATCATTAGAGGGATGTTGATAGCAGTGAGAAAGGTGTTACATCAGTGTTTTTTCTTTAGCTGGGTGAATATTTTTCACGTTATTTCAGAACTACTCGAGAAGGGGACGAACCTCTGAGGGAGTATCCAAGCAGCAAAAGCAAAGGGTTTGGACTTAGCTGAGGCCGTTCAGAATGGGCTGACAGCATTTCAAGTAGAGGCGCAGCCAGGGTGGGCACTAGGACTCAAAAGCTTAGGACGGCTCCATGTCTGGTTATTTTAGGCATCATCAAGGAGATTTCTTTTGATGACCAAAATGGAGATGGAGAACATGAATTGCAGACTTGTAGGTGATAAGGGATTCATTTAAGCTACGAAACAAATAAACTGGGAAATGTTTGATTGGCACCGACCACAGTAACTAGGATGATTTATGCATGTCTGTATGGAGACAGATACTGGACATTGTCATTTATTAAAATATCTAGTAAATCAATGAGAATGAGGTTCTATGTGTCTTTTGGTACTTTTTCCAGTGTAATGATGCTGCAGGCAGTGAGGTATTTCTTAAAGTCCTGCACTTGAGAACTTTGGGATGATACTTCTGCTTCAGTTTTCTATAAAGCCAAGGTTATGCTGGCTTTCTGTACTGACCTGGTTCTTGTGCTGCTCATTTTCACAGCCCGCAAGTCCAAAAAATTGGGGAAATTGAAAGGGATTCACGAGGAGCAGCCACAGCAGCGTCAGCAGCCACCACCCCAGAGCCCCGAGGAAGGGACGACGTACATCGCGCCCGTGACGGAGCCCTCTGTAAACACAGCACTTGTCCCCCACATGTCTGCTATCTCACCAGCACTTACTCCCTCTCCTGTTAAGATCCTTGAAAGCATTGAACCGGAGATTGTGTACGCAGGATACGACAGTTCGAAGCCAGACACAGCCGAGTACCTGCTTTCCACCTTAAACCGCTTGGCTGGCAAGCAGATGATTCAGGTGGTGAAGTGGGCAAAGATACTTCCAGGTAAGAGCACGAGGTATTTGGTGAAATTTCTGTTCAGTCTTTTAGCTTAATGAACGATGTGCCTGACAAATTGCATCTTTAATCCGTGGGCTGTGTTGAAAACCCTCACGGGGGAGGAGGGGAGGAAGGGGGTCTGTGGTGGTGTTGAAATAAATATCTGAGAGAAGAGTGTTGTTGTTTTGATTTATGTAATGTTTGTTTCGTATGTCTGTGATAGATATTTTAAAAGCTTTCATTTTGAATAATAGCCTCTTAAGGAGAAAATGTGTTTTGTCATCGGAATGAAAAATTAAGTGGTGTGTTTTTTTTTTTTGTTAGAAGTGTACTTTGTGGGAGTGTTGCTTGTTCATTAATACTAGAAAAATAATGAAGAACGTATTCAGTGCTGGTTTGGCCAATTCTTGTGGAGTGCCATGTAGTTCACGGGTATTTTCTGGTTTGATCTCTAGGATTTAGAAACTTGCCTCTCGAGGACCAAATTACTTTAATTCAGTATTCATGGATGTGTCTGTCATCGTTTGCCTTGAGTTGGAGATCATACAAACATACAAACAGCCAGTTCCTCTATTTTGCTCCAGACCTGATCTTCGATGAGTAAGTACTCCTTAATGGTCCTTTTCAGTGAAGGCTGGAAGGATTACTCTGTCCTTTATTTGGGTTTCAGGCATAACTGCAGTC